TGGATGGATGGATGGAGAATGGATGCAGCAGAATGGATAGACAGTTGGGAGTCAGGTAGAGGATGGATAGTGGTTGGATAGACGAGAGACACATGGAGGAGGGATGGAGAAGGATGGACAGAAAAGGATGGACAGACGGATGGAGGATGGAGAGAGGACAGATAGAGCAGGGATGGAGGATGGATAGAGAACAGATGGAGGATGGATGGAGGGATGGATAGAGGGATGGATAGATGGAGGAGGATGGAGGAGGATGGACAGCCACATGGGAGATGGAGGGTTAGATGGAGGATTGAGGATGGATGGAGGATGGATGGAGGACACATGGAGAATGGATGGATGGAGGATGGTTGGAAGAGAATGGACAGACTGATGAGGGACAGATGGAAGATGGATGGAGAAGGGATAGAGGACAGATGGAGGTTGGATGAAGGACAGACATGGAGGGTGGCTGGAGGGATGGAGGATGAATAGATAGAGAATGGGGGAAGGACGGATGGAGGACAGATGGAGGACAGATGGATGATGGATAGGAGGACAGATGGGTGGATGGATGGAGGACGGACAGATGGATGGATGAATGGATGGATGGACAGAAGATGGAGGCAGGACACAAGGGTGCACGGAGGGTGGGCAGGGCCAGCCTGGCCAGGCTGCTGGGGTGTAGGCAGGCATTGGGCTGCCCTGACGGCTGTGGGCAGGACTTCCTGTCGGACATGGCCATGACGGAGGTGGATCGCTTCATGGACCGGGAGCACCTGATCTTCCGGGAAAACACCCTCGCCACGAAAGCCATAGAGGAGTACCTGAAACTCATCGGCCAGAAATACCTCAAGGATGCCATTGGTGAGCTCCACTGGCACTGGGGGGTCCCTGTCATGGCCAAGGGTCCCCATCATGGCCAGGGCCCCATCAGCATGGCTGTGGGACGGTGGGTGGTCCCCACACATGGGTCATGTCCCCATTGGCATGGCCGTGGGATGGGATGGTTGGGTGGTCTCTTCTCACGGCCGGGTCTCCGTTAGGGTACAATTGGGTGGACCCTAGTCCCTGGTCGTAGCCAGGTCCTCATGGGCCATGGGATGGTTGGGTGATCCGTTCTCATGCCCTGTCCCCTTTGGCATGACTGTGGGATGGTGGGTGGTCCATTCTCATGGCTCTATCCCCACTGGCATAGCCATGGGATGTTGGGTGATCCCTTCTCATGGCCGTAGGACAGTTAGGTGGTCCTCTCTCATGGCTGTGTCCTCATTGCTATGGTCATGAGATGGTTGGGTGGTCCCTTCTTATGATCATGTTGGTGTGGCCAGGGGATGGTTGGGTGGTTCCTTCTCATGGCCATGTCTCCATTAAGGTGGTCTGGCCATGGGATGGTTGGGTGGTCCCCAGCCCCTGTTCACTTCCAGGTCCCCATTGGCACAGTCATGAGGTGGTTGGGTGGTCCCTTCTCATGGCCATATCCCCATCGGGCTGGCTTGGCTGTGGGACGGTGGGGTAGTCCCCGGTCCGCTCTGATGTCCCCGTCCCCACCCAGGCGAGTTCATCCGGGCGCTGTACGAGTCGGAGGAGAACTGTGAGGTCGACCCCATGAAGTGCTCGGCCTCCACCTTGGCTGACCACCAGGCCAATCTCCGCATGTGCTGCGAGCTCGCCCTCTGCAAGGTGGTCAACTCGCACTGGTGAGTCCTTGGGGCTGGGGACATCCCCTGGCGTCCTCACCACGGGTCCCTGACCATGTCTCCCCCCGCCACGCAGCGTGTTCCCACGGGAGCTGAAGGAGGTCTTCGCCTCGTGGCGGCTGCGATGCGCTGAGCGGGGCCGCGAGGACATCGCCGACCGGTTGATCAGCGCCTCGCTCTTCCTGCGGTTCCTCTGCCCCGCCGTGATGTCCCCCAGCCTCTTTGGCCTCATGCAGGAGTACCCTGACGAGCAGACTGCCCGCACCCTCACCCTCATCGCCAAGGTCATCCAGAACCTGGCCAACTTCACCAAGTGAGCGCCCAACGTGAAGGAGGGAGGGATGGTGGTGGATGACAGTGGTCTGGTGGAGGGAGAAGAGATGGTGGGGGACACAGGTGGGTGAGGAGAAGAATGGAGGCATGGTGGAGGGAAGGTGGATCCGTAGGTCTATGGGTGGATGGACGGGCGTATTCATGGGTGGATGGAGAGTAAATGGATGGATGAGTTGATGGATGGACAGAAGATGGATAGATGGGTAGAAGGTGGATGGATGAGCTGATGGATGGATGGATGGATGGGAGATAGCTGGATGAGTGGATGGATGGGCAGAAGTTGGAGGCATGAGCTGATGGATGGACAGAAGGAGGATAGATAGAAAATGACTGGCTGAGTTGGTGGATGAATGGATGAATTGATGAATAGGTGCGTAGAGAAGATGAACAGATGAACAGAAGATGGATGATTTGATGGATGATGAGTGGGAAATGAGTGAGTGGATGGGTGGTGAGGTGGTGGATGGAGGGAAGATGGAGGAACAGAAGATGACTAGATGCATGGAAGGTGGGGGGATGAGTTGATGGGTGTAAGATGGATGGATGAGTTGGATGGACAGAATATCGACAGATGAGTTGGATGGATGAATTTGGTGGCCAGAAGGATGAATAGATGGATTTATGGATGGATGGAAGATAGATGGATGGAAGGAAGGAAGATGGACAGATGAGTTGGTAGATGGATGAGTTGGGCAGAGGGATGGATGGATGGAAGGAAGGAGGATGGATGGAAAGAAGATGGATGGATGAGTTGGTGAATAGATTGATGGAGAACAGACAGCAGAGCTGGATGAATGCCAGACGTGGCTTTATGAAGGGATGCCTGGAAGCCGAAGGGACAGAAGGGACAGAGGGTGGGCAAGGCCAGTGGTGGAGGACAACAGCCATGGGGGGGGCCAGCGCAGACCCTGCTGAGTGCCTGGCCACAGGTTTGGCAGCAAGGAGGAGTACATGGCCTTCATGAATGAGTTCCTGGAGCTGGAGTGGACCAGCATGCAGCAGTTCCTCTATGAGATCTCCAACCTGGACACCCTCACCAACAGCACCAGCTTCGAGGGCTACATCGACCTGGGCCGTGAGCTCTCCACCCTGCATGCTCTCCTCTGGGAGGTCATGTCCCAGCTCAGCAAGGTACCCCAGTCACCTGGGAGCCCCGTGGTAGGGGGGTGTCACCTGGACACGTGGGTCCTCTTATGGGGGCGATCAGCGGCCTGGATGCTTAGGTTCTCCCCAGGGGAGATTTTGGCATCCTGGACATCTGGGTGCCCCTAGAGGGGCATTTGGGGGTCCCATCCACCTCTTCCCCCTAAGGGGAGGTCATGGGGGTCCTATCCACCCGTGACCCACCAGGTGACATCATTGGGGTCCCAGCCCCCCATGTCCTCCCAGGGAAGGTCATTGAAGTTCCAGCCCCCTGTGTCCTACCATGGGAGGTCGTTGGGGTGCCATCCACTTGTGCCCACCCAGAGGTGGTCATTGGGGTCCCACCCGCCCATGTCCCCCATGGTCATTGGGGTCCCAGCCCCCCCATACACCCGCAGGGGAGGTTATTGGGGTGGGGGAGTGGGGATTGTGGCTGACCTGCCCCCCCAGGAGGCCCTGCTGAAGCTGGGCCCACTGCCCCGGCTGCTGACGGACATCAGCGTGGCCCTGCGCAACCCCCACCTGCAGCGGCAGCCGAGCCAGGGGGAGCGGCTGCCCCCCAAGGGGCTGGTGCTGCGGGGGCCCTCGGCCGACCTCCAGCCCTACCTCGTCCGTGACCTCAACAGGTGAAGACCCCCCCCAAGAACTACCCTGTGTCCCTCCACATCCCCATGGTACCCCCACAACCCCGTGATACCTCCACACTGTGTCCCCCAATGTCCCCATGGTGTCCCCCCATGTCACCCCGGTGGCCCTCAGTCTCACTTGGGGTGTCTCCCCCCACCGTGGGTCCCTGTGGTCACCCGCTCTCTGCCCCCACAGCTCTGTTGACCTCCAGTCCTACATGGTGCGGGGCCTCAACAGGTGGGTGATGGGGACGGAATGGGGACAGGGATGCAGATGGGATGGGGACAATGATGGGATTCCGATGGGGATGAGGTGGTGATGGGATGGGATTGGATAGGGATGGGGATTGAGGATGGGGATGGGGATGGGGATGGAAATGGGGATGGAGACTGAGATGGAGATGGGGATGGGGATGGAGATGGAGACGATGGAGATGGAGATAGGGATGGAGATGGAGGTGGGGATGGAGATGGAGATGGGGATGGGATGGGGATGAAATGGGGTTGGGGATGGAGATGGGACTGGGATGGAGACCTCTCTCCAGCCCCACCTCACCAGAGGTCCTGGCCCCACCTTAACCCCCATCCCCCCCAGCTCCATGGAGGTGCCCCGCCTGCCCTCCCCGCCGCAGGAGAAGGGGCCGCAGGAGGTGCTGGTCCTGAGCCGCCCCCCCCTGGCCCGCTCCTCCCCCGCCTACTGCACCAGCAGCTCCGACCTGACGGAGCCCGAGGGGGGCCGGGGGGCTCTGGGGGTGGGCAAGAGCGTCTCCATGCTGGACCTTCAAGACGGCCGCGTTGACAGCGTCCCTAGTTTGCCCGCCGAGCTGCTCGCCGCTGGTGGTCCAGCCCCAGGGGGGGCCGGAGGGGGCCTGCGTCCCGGCCGCCTCTCGCAGGGCAGCGCCTCCAGCCTGGCCCCCCCTCGCCTGGGGGTACCCGAGCCGGGGGGGCCGCAGTTGCGGGTGCCCCTCTCCTTCCAGAACCCCCTTTTTCATTTGGCGGCCGACGGACCCTTGCGAGGACCCGAGCCGGGGGGTGAGGGGCCCTTCGCCCCCCCCCTGCACGGGTACAGCAAGAGCGAGGAGCTGGCGGCTCCCCCCCCCAAGCACATCACCCACAGCCACAGCTACAGTGATGAGTTCGCCCGGCCGGGGGGGGACTTCGGCCGGCGGCAGCTCTCCCTGCAGGACAGCCTGGCCCCCCCCCAGATCACCATCGGGGCCCCCCCGCCCCCCACCCCTCGGGGGGCTCGGGCGGGGAAGGGTGGGGGGCCGGGGCCGGCGGCCCTGGGGGTGCCCCCCAAACCGCGGCCGGCCAGCGGGAACCTGCTGGCGTCCCCCGAACCGGCTTACGGACCCCCCCGCTCCCGGCAGCCCTCCCTGGCCAAGGAGGCGTCGGTGGCTGGGATGAAGCCGCCGGTCACCAAGCAGGTGGGGGGACACATGGGGGGACATGGGGACATGGTGGGGCTGGGGGACATGGTAGGGCTGGAGGGCATGGGGACATGGTGGGGATGGGGGACACGGGGGCTGTGGGGGACATGGAGGGTATGAGGGACATGGCGATAGGGTAGGGATGGGGACATAGGGGACATGGTGGGAACATGAGGGCTATGGGAAGCATGAAGGATATGGGGGACATGGGGACTTGGTGGGGACGTGGAGGGACATGGGGATATAGGGGACATGGTGGGAAGATAAGGGCTGTGGGAAACATGGAGGATATGGGGGACATGGGGACATGAGGGACGTGGGGGATGTAGGGGAACCTGGGGACGTGGAGATATGGGGGAACATGAGGGACGTGGGGGATGCGGGGTGACATGGTGGGGATGGGGACACAGAGGAACATGGGTGACATGGGGCATGGTGGGGATGGAGGGACATGGATGGACATGGGGGACTTTGTGGGGACATGGCGGGACATGCAGGACATGGGGTCATGTTGACCTCCAGTCCTACGTGGTGCGGGGCTTCAACAGGTGGGTGATGGGGACGGAATGGGGACAGGGATGCAGATGGGATGGGGACAATGATGGGATGCCGATAGAGATGAGGTGGTGATGGGATGGGGATGAGGATGGTGATGGGTGGACATGGTAAGGCTGTGGGGGGACGTGGGAGACGTGGGGACACAGGACACAGCGTGGACAGGGAGGGCTGCTGCGGGGACACGTCATGGGGACGAGAAGGACCAAGCCTGTCCTCGTGCCCCCACCACGTCCCCCCCAGGCCTCACAGACGCCGTCGACGCTGAACCCGGTGATGCCGGCAGCGGAGCGCACGGTGGCCTGGGTGTCCAACATGCCGCACCTCTCGGCCGACATCGAGAGCTCCCACATCGAGCGCGAGGAGTACAAGCTCAAGGAGTACTCCAAGTCTATGGACGAGAGCCGGCTGGACCGGGTAGGGACCATCGACGGACCCAGGTGTCCAGAGCTGCAGGGGGGGCAGGGGTCCTGGGAACCCAGTTGTCCAGGCCCCAGGAGATGACCCTGATGGACCCAGACGTCCAGGCATCACTTGTGGTGGAAACCAAGGTGTCTGGGCATCACTTCAGGGGGGACCCAGGTGTCCAGCTGCCACCATGCTGGAAACCAAGGTGTCCAGGTGTCACCACAGGTGGTCTCAGGTGTTTGGGTGACAACTTGGTGGAGACCTAGTTGTTTGGATGTCACCACAGGTGGTCTCAGGTGTCTGGGTGTCACTGTGGTGGGGACCCAAGCGTCACCACGGGTGGTCCCAGCTCTTTGGGTGTCATCTTGGTGGAGACCTAGTTGTTTGGATGTCACCATGGTGGGAACCCGGGTGTCCAGGTGTCACTGTGGTGGTCCCAGGTGTTTGGGTGACAACTTGGTGGGGACTTAGATGTTCAGATGTCACCACAGGTGGTTCCAGCTGTTTGGGTGTCATCTTGGTGGAGACCTAGGTGTTCAGATGTCACCACAGGTGGTCCCAGGTGTCACCACGGGTGGTCCCAGGTGTTTGGGTGTCATCTTGGTGGGGACCTAGATGTTTGTTCATGACCATGGGGACCTAGGTGTTTGGCCATCACCATTGGGAGTCCTAGCTGTCTGGGTGTCACGGTGGTGGGGACCCAGGTGTTCAGGTGTCACCGTTGGAGGGGAACCCGGGTGTCTGGTCGTGGTGGGGATGGGGAGATGCCACCAGTGCCCTGCAGTGTGGGCTGTGGCAGGTGAAGGAGTACGAGGAGGAGATCCACTCGCTGAAGGAGCGGCTGCACATGTCCAACCGCAAGCTGGAGGAGTACGAGCGGCGCCTGGTGTCGCAGGAGGAGCAGACGAGCCGCATCCTGCTGCAGTACCAGCACCGCCTGGAGCAGAGCGAGAAGCGCCTGCGGCAGCAGCAGGCAGAGAAGGACTCCCAGATCAAGAGCATCATCGGCAGGTGAGGGAGGGACCCGGCCCCGGGGACAGCGAGGGGACACCGGGGACGCTGGGGGGGTTGGGGAGGGAGAGGGGGGTGAGGGGAGGTCCGGTGGGACTTGAGTGTTGGGGGGCATGGAGGGGTGTGGGGGCAGGGTGGGATGTGAGGGACATGGGGGGACAGAGGGACATGAGGGATGTAGCAGAACATGGATGACATGGGGACACAGAGGGACTTGAGGGACACAGAAGGACATGAGGGACATAGATGACAGAGGGACAGTGGAACACGGATGACATGAGGACACAGAGGGACTTGGGGACATAGAAGGACATGAGGGACATAGATGACATGGGGACACAGAGGGACAGTGGAACATGGATGACATGGGGACACAGAAGGACATGAGGGACAGTGGGACATAGATGACATAGGGACACAGAAGGACATGAGGGACATAGTGGAACATGGATGACATGGGGACACAGAGGGACATGAGGGACATAGTGGAACATAGATGACATGGGGACACAGAGGGACATGAGAGTCAGAAGAACATGAAGGACAGGGGGACATGGGGACACAGAAGGACTTGGAGGCAATAGATGGACATAAAGGATCTGGGGGTGGAGGGGGACATAGAAGGACATGGGGACACAGAGGGACATGTGGGACATAGAAGGACATGGGATTATAGGGACACAGGGGGACATAGAGGGACACAGAGATTACAGGGACGTGGGGAACGTAAGGGAGATAGAGGGACATGGAAGATATGGGGACATGGGTGACAGAGGGAGACGGGGGACATGGGGGACACGGGGGACACAGGGGGACATGGGGACACAGAGAGACATGGGGGATGCCTGGACATAGCAGGACATGGGGGTGTCCCCTCCTGTCCCTGCATGTCCCCGGGACGGTGGCAATGTGACCCCCAGTGCAGCCTGTCCCTGCCATGTCCCTCAGGTGTCCCTGCTGGGTGGCAGCCTGTCCCTGCCATGTCCCCATGTGTCCCCAGGGTGTGCCTGGGGGGTGGCAGCCTGTCCCTGGTGGGGTCCCTGGGGGTGGTAGTGTGACCCTGGGGTGTCCCTGCTATAGCACTGGGGTGTCCCCCCATGTCCTTGGGGTGAGTGGCAGTGGGTGCCTGGGTGGGTGTCCCCATCCCCATGCTGTCCCTCAGGTCATAGCGTGTCCCCAGGGGGGTGTCCCTGTGACCTGGGGGTGTCCCCGGGGTGTCCCTTGGTGTCCTTGGGGGTGGCAGCATGTTCCCAGGGTTTGTCCGCGGGTTATCCCATGTCCCTGGGTGTCCCTGGGTCTGTCCCAATGTCCCTATGTGTCCCTGGCGTTGGCAGCACGTCTCGGGGGGGGGCATCCCTGGGGTGACCCCATGACCCAGGATGTCCCCAGGGTGTCCCTAAGGGTGGCAGTGTATCCTTGTGAAGCGCCCCCAGGGCTGTCCTCATGATCCAGGGTGTCCCTGGGGGTGTCCCCATGACCTGGGGTGTCCCTGGGGTTGTCCCCATGTCCTTGGAGTGTCCCTAGGATGTCCCTGGGGTTGTCCCCATGACCTGGGGTGTCCCTGGGGTTGTCCCCATGTCCTTGGAGTGTCCCAAGGATGTCCCTGGGGTTGTCCCCATGACCCTGATGAAGCCTGGCCCCAGGGTGGTGTCCCCAGGGGTGTGCCCGGGGATGACAGTGTGTCCCCGGGTGGGCATCCCCAAGGGTGTCCCTGCTACCTGGGGTGTCCCCATGACCTGGGATGTCCCCAAGGGTGTCCCCAGGGGTGTCCCCATGACCCCGGTGAAGCCTGGTCCTGGGCCAGGGTGTGTGTGTGTGTGTGTGTGT